TTCCCACCTCGTAGGTGCCTAGCTTCCGCTCGCAACAGCGCCTCTTGACTTCATGGGGCGAGCGCTGCAGAGGAGGGTTTCAGCAGGCTGCAGCACACCAAGAGACAGACTGCTGGTCCGTGTTGGGCCAGGGAATGTGTGCTGGCAGAGGAGCAGAGAAATATGGAGGAAAAAGCCTTCTCCTTGGGAAGACAAAGTAATCCGTGGCAATCCCTAAGAGAGGAAGACACTGATGTGCAGGAGCTTTAGCTGCACTGATGTTCACTGTCATCCAACATTTCTTCAGCCTCATTCCTGCAGATCTCCCTTGCTCATAGGTAAAAACTAGTGGGTTTATTCACAAACTTACAGTATCTCATGAATGTAAATTCAGCTGGCTCACACATAAGGATGACGCATGACAGGCTCCTTTCAGTCACAACACCACCTTGAAGTGTGCCCGTGCCAATGCTCCTGCCCACCCCCTCAGCCCCAGCACCCTGCTCTGCCCCTCTCCCAGTGCAGGAACTCCTGGTGTGACCTGGCCAAGGAGCCCAACCTGGTCTGGAGAAACTCTGCAAAATGAGTAATTCCTACTGCAACTGGGCCAGCACAGCCTCCTGGTTGAGGGAGAACGTGGCACGGGGCAGGAGCAAACAAGTGGAGCATGAGCAGGGACTTCCCAAGCTGGCATTGCCACTTAGAGAAACACCCAGCCACCCTTCACCTCGGGATACATTTCCAAGTTCACCTATGTGGTTTAGGAGCATAAAACTCATTTCTGTCAACAGAGATTTTTTTAGTTGAGGCCCATGCTCCTGCTTCACTGAGAAGTAGCTGAAATATCTCATATAAAACCAAAATTCACAACAATGAAAAGTTATTTTGTCTTTTACAAGAACAGAGACTCTATAGAAGCCTTTCACAGCCCCTAAAGCTTCAGAAAGGCCACTGAAAGGAATATTCTAGGATTTAGATCCACAGCAAAAGAGAAGCCTCATCCAAACACTCCCACTGATCCCAGCTGGCGTTGGACTGGACCCACATGTGAAATGTAAGCAAAATATGCCCAGAGTTCTTCACAATATAGTGGATTAGAGCAAGAGTGGTTTTTATTTATGAAAAATGGAGTTATAACAAAGGGACATTGAGATGCCCAAGGCCTTCCATTCCCGCTTTCCAGACAGTGAGGGGAAAAAGCAAAGAGACTGTTCTCACAGGCATGGATACATCGCCTCTTCAGCAAACATGTCTACAAATTTGTTTCACCAGCATAAACTAAAACAAGCAGAGAAATATTTTTCTTCCAATGTTTCCTTTCTATTTATTTTCTGTTGCTACCTTTGTGCCTGCAGCAACGCCAACGTTCCCTGAGCCCCAGAACCCACTGATTTTGCATCTGCTGCCTAACCTTTCAAACTCCGGAGCACTGCGCTAGCGCAGCTCTCCCTTTGCAGCTGGCGGAGTCATGGGATTATTTCAGAGTTGGGGTGAACAGGCAGAATGCCGGGAATATAAATAGGGGCTCCCAGCTGGGACGGGGATTGAACTGGGATGGGACATACCATCTCTGTTGTGCTTTCAGCAGATGTTTAAGGAATTAGAGCTTTATATTACTCCTTTATGAGTTATTATTCTTCCATGTTTCTCTATTGTTATCTTTATTTTTCTGTTGTTTTCTTGACTGTTCATGGAAAGCAAAATACTGGCAGATTCAAATTAATTTTTGAAGGTGAGCAAATAGCTGCAGAGACTTATTCACCCAATTTCAAGCAGAAAAAGTATATAAGCAACTTATTGGGACAACCCCCCCCCAAACCTAAGTGCACATAACTAACCAAGGCAACTTCACAGTCCTGTCATTCAAAACTTTACTATTGTTTCTGCATTGCTGGTACCATCACTTTCTGTGTTGAAAAATGGCAACCTCTTCTGTGCAAAGATCAGGGACTATAAATTTTCATATTTTGGGTGCTATAAGAACCATAAATAATGATTTATTGAATGAATCTCACTTCACTAGGCATGACTTTCCCAAACTTGTATAATGTGTGAAATCATTTATTGCTTGGAGACCTGTTAAGCAGGCAGCCACAAAAGCCCACTGCCTCTCATCATTTGAAGCCCAAACCTCAACATCATTTATTTCTAAGCTATTTTTTGGGTACATGCAGAAATCAAACCCTTGTAAAATCTTTTTAATTTCCTGCTTTCGTTCTTTGGGCCCACAGACTGGACCTGTAAGATATTTAACTTCTTTTTTTTTTTCCACATTACTGGTAAACTCCTTCGGTTTCAGCCGTGATGCCCATAAACAAAATTCACGTCAGACAAGGCAAAGGTTCCAAGACAGACAGTTACTAGCTCAAAGCCAGAGTGTTTCATTTTAGACTTCATCCCCATTTAAACCATGAAAACCTCAGTAAGTATTGAATTTAAATCCACTATCACTTTCTCCAGGCCTTTGTCAAAGGGCTCATTATTAGCTTCTATTTTACAGTGCCTCCTAGATCCCCATGCTGAGGGGCCACACTGTATCAACTAGAGCTGCGAGCACACACAGAGCAAGAAGCAGTCTCCATCCTGGGCCATTTAGGATCCCAGACAGACCAGATAAAAGACAAGAAAGAGGAGCTACGTTTCCAGCATGTGTCACACAGCAGGTCGGAGGGTTCAGAATAAGCGCTCAGGATTCAAAAGTCTTAATCCAGGGCCCTATCTACCACATCAGATTTTGTCACACTCTTTTTAGACAAAACAAGTATATAAGTATATAATAACGGGTACATGCAGATATAATAAAGTGTATTTATATAAACTTTTTTTGTAAGAAAGGTTCTGTGCCTTCTTACAGAAGCAACCACAAAACTTTCAAGCCTCTTGGATCCATCTGAATCCTCTCCTTTCTGAAAGTAGCTGCTAATGGCCCCTAACCTGTTGGCTCGCTCTCACAACAGAAAAAAACAGTTCGCTGGAGAACAGTTTTTCCAGGAGAGTGCAATGTTTGGATATGTGTTTACTGAAAGGGACCTTTATCATTTCAAGTTCCTGTTGGTCCTGGTGCTCTGTATCTGTGTGGCAAAAGAGAGAGCAGCAGTGGTTTGTCTGTAAGCAAGATTCTCTGTTACTCTCTGCTCTGGGGTCTGTAGGACTACGCAGCTATCAGAACGCACAGGCAAGCCTGAGCTGTTGGCTTCCAATCAGGCTTGCAACGTGTCTAAAACCCTGGTTGCCTGACGAAGTCCTGAGTTACCATGAGTCCTCAGCGTTGGCAACATGACCATTTTCTAAGCCAAGCTGCCTTAAGCCTGTCAAAGTAGGTTTAACTGTTGCTTCATTTCTCTGAACAGTGCTCAGAAGCATTATATGACATTGGCTAAGCCAGCTGTCCCCAGAGAAAAGCTCCAGGGAACGGCTGCTTTCTGTCCGACCCCTCATGGCTAAGGATGTCTCCTGCAGCAAGCCGTCCCTGCGTACTGTCCATGGATCGAGGCTCGGGGTACTTTGCCAAACCAGGACAACATTACAAAGGAGTAACTGGGAACTCAGGAGTGACTGAGCAACAGCTGGCAGCAGCACAGCCCTCATTTTCTCTGTACCATTTCTGTGATTTTTCACTCAAATCATTGTGCCATTTGAAGGAACGCAGACCTGTGTCATTCTGAGTTACAGTCAGACTTGTCGGTGCCACTAATTCTGCTAAATGAACAGTAAAATAGAAACAGGCAGAACGATGTAATTAAGTTTGCTGCAGAAACAGAATCATAAGGAACACACCAGCAGTATTTTCAAAAGCCACCTGCCCCAATATTCGTGGTGTGACTCACATATCTACTAAAGTACTGCAGAAACCCTGGACCAGCTACACAATTCTCACCAGCAGTTTATGTGAAATTAAGTCATCCCAAATGGTCATTCAAACTACGGGTTACTGACAGGGGAAGAAATGAAATAAAATGTTCTTGTTGTTCTAGACAACAAAAAAGACCGCTAAGGAAGTAACTTTATAACTTGAGAAGGGTCTGCAGCTTTAAGGAATTCTCCCCTAAAGGTTGTAAAGCTTTTACTATGCAAAGTATTTTTGCTATTATATACACTGGCGGCCACTAAGTGCAGCTATTATTTCTGGCGGTCATTCAGAGAAGGTCGGGGCTGATAAAGCGTTTAACAGAGTTTGTTTGGGTAGATCCATCTGTGGTTTTAACCACCCATACAGTCTTTTGTGTCCTTTTAAAAGACACTGGATGTTACTGAGTCTAATAAATTATGATCTTCTATTATTTATCATGCCACAGCAAAGAGCATCATCTTTACAATGCCCACACTTTTCTATATGCATTACACAAGCATCTAAAAAAGGGATTATTCCTTGCTGTGGGGTAGGGGTGCAGCCTACACAGAGCTCCCATTTCCTTGGTAAAGGCCATGTGGAGTTGTGACCTGTAGGGTGAGTTCATGCCTCAGAGGAGCCAAGGAGGGGACATTGCAATCAAAGGGCAGGAAACTAAGAGGTATGTTGAAAGGATATAGCAAGGAGTCCAAGATGGAGCTTCGGAAAGGAAGTACTTTCAGGTCATGTGAGCACCTGAAGGAAAAATATCCTAACTAGTTGGGATGGACCGTAATAGCATTCTTAACACTCCCACTGAATGGGTTTGATAGTGCAGGATTTGAAACTTAGCCCCATTACAAACTCTCTGTACTGCTTGGAGCAAACCAGGTGAACTCCCAGCGCCCCACTTCCCTGCCTGGCTGGCACTGTGTGCCACAAGGCGAAGCGCCTCAGTGATGATCTCTGCTACTGTTTATGAGTACTCTGTTCCAAAACATGAAATGAAATATTGCTAGGACTATCTTGCTTCAAAATGCTGTGCAAACAGTTGCTGACTATGAAGCAGGTGAGTAAAACTTATTTAAATTGTACAGTGAGAAGATCTTCACAATCTGACTACCGTTCCAGACATTTCATAAAGCTTTTTGTATCAAGAGATAGTACTGACCTGAACAACATTGCCACTTACCTGAGCTTATCTGCTACAAAAATCACACGCCGCTCCAGCAGGAGAGAAGCAAAGATCCTGATGATCTGACGAACGCTGAGGCACTTGAAAAGGCATTCAAAGTCCACGTGTTCCAGACGTGAGTCCATTGGCCGTCGCAGCTCAATGACCTGAACATATCCAGCAAACATCAGTCAGCACCACTAGCCAGAGCTGACAGCTCCAGGGGTGCCCAGCACCCCAGCCCAGGCCCTCCAGCACCGCTCCGTGCTTGCCTGTTGAGGGGACATGGAGAACGACCCCCATCCTCTTTTGTAATCTGAGGCTGGAGGCACAGCACTCCAGAGAAATGGTGTATTACACAATTCTCTATCAAGTCATTCTTCTTCCCAGAATACAGTTGTGTACATTAAATCTGCTGCCATTTCCGAGAGAAGCATCATTCTGCCTTCTAAACACCCTGTCACAGATTTAAAGCTTGGCTGAGTCAACAGTATGAAGCAAGTAACAAACTGGAAACACTGGAGCCGGAAGCTTACAGGATTAAAACAGTCATAAAGACAAGGCAAATTTGGTTATTATCTTGGCTAGCGATTCAAATTCACATCTAGATAGGAGCCAAGGACTCAACTTAAAGGCTGGGCAAAATTCAAACAAATTTACTTCATTTTCACTCTTCTGTGATGCATAAATCACTAGATAATGTTTAAAACCTTTTTTTTGGTCATAAAAATATGTACATATATATACTTAACTGGGGAGTCAGGACAAGGTCTTAGATGGCGACTTGTGACATCCCTTTAAAGTCTAATTTTCATACTTCATCCATGACCTCAGGCCCTCTCCTTCCTTTTTTCAAATGCCTTTTGCTTGATTCCTTTATTATATCTTCCTTTTACTTTGCAATTGACATGCTCAGATGTGGAACTTGAAGGCGAAGGACAGAAAAAAGAAGAGGGAGAAATAACATGAAGAAGAGAGTAACAGAGGGAGAAAAATATGAAGTGCAAGACAGCAAATGATGAACTACTGAGGAATTTGAGGAAACAGAAGGGAAAGGGGAAAAGCTGGCCAACTTGAAGCTGTGTTGAAATCTCTGAAGACGTATTAACAGGAACGTATACACATCTCCTTCTTTCCATATGTCCAAAAATCGCCATCACTTTATTGCTTTAGACCACTTTTATGTTTTCATGCACATGATGACGCATTCCACGAGCACACTGTATTGGGTTTAAACTTGAGCAGCCCTTACAAAATTCTTCACAAACACACTGTTTTAAGGATATGATCAGCAGCAAGACCACAGGATACTGGAAACAAAACCAGTTCATACCAGTTTAATTGTAATATTTTTTTGTGGTCGGTAACGCAACTGTAAAAAGAAGGTCACTGTTAGAACAGTATTTGTGCACAGAGCTGATTTTTTTAAAGCCTGACCCATCACTCAGCTGTTGCCTCAAACAGCAGTAAGCATCAAGTTGTGGAGTGATGGTGTACCATGAATACCTCCTCAGGAGACACTGCCTGCCTGTACCCCTTTATCATATGCAGTCAAGGTGCCCACTTCCATTCCTTAGCGTTGGGATTGCAAGCTCAAATCATGTTGATGTGCCAAATTATGAGGAGCTGGTTTTACTGCAAAACTTCCAACACTAAAATCTTGCTGCGGGGTAGGATGCAATGCAAGTTACGGCAGCTTTTACAAATGCCATGGATGTTTTCTGTTGCCTGGTAAAGCCTTCTGCTTCAGTCTGCTTGTCACAAAGTAATACACTGTCTGCTTCCCAATTAATCATCATCTTTGTTTAGGCCAGAGGAGCCACAATGGAAGGACAAGATTCTGTTCCTAATTAAGCCAGTGCATTCCATTCAAATAACGAGTTTGTACTAGCATAGCAGAGAGCAAAGCTCAGCCAGAAAAGAGTTGTTTGTTTGTTTGGAATTATCTCAATGTTTTTCTCTGGGAGAGTTCAGAAGCTTGAGCAGAGGACAGAGAAGTTGCAGATCCATGGTTCCCAGATATAGTCACATCAAAAAAAGCATTATCAGATCTCTCCACTGTTATGCCAATGAGCCTTTTAATTTTCCTTTCCTTCTCCAGAAGATGATGCTTGGGACTTAAATATGCCTTGCAAGTCACTTATACAAGGAAGTCTTTACATTTCATACCAAGTAACATTACAGGCCCACTCCGTTGAAGCTGGTGGCATTATACTTAGAGAAAATACATCATTTGATGTAGAAACAGTAATAGTACTGTTAAACTAACCCTCGGGAGTGTGAAATAATGCTAGAGGGGATTTTTTTTCCTGTTTTCATTAACTGGGCCAAATTCTATTCCTATCTGCAGTGATCTATTTCCTCTATATGCTTGCCCATCTGAGTGGAGCTACTGTATACTTACATAAGGACATGCAGAGAGCAGAATTTGACACGGCGAATGGCTAACAAGCCTCAAGTCACAAAAAACTTTTTAAGCAAGGCATCAATATTGCCATTTTCCAATAAGGCCTATGTTGTACAATGCTAGGCTTCTAGCTACTTGAGTCAGTAATAAAAGGAAATGAAATTTATTATATATATGCACACACACAAGAAAAACTTTTTGGAAAAGCATGTCATCTGAAAGTTGTAAGTGTGTCTTGATTGACATATTTTCTTTGAGAGCCAGTTAAATGATATTTATTGCCTAAAAGAGCCATTTAAATGCTGCTGGTCACTCCTACCAAGGCCAGGACCAGCAGTAATGAGGTTTGCAATAATAACCAGCTGCTGAACTGTTTAAGTACGATCAGCATGGGAAACTTAAGCTTGCTTGTTATCCCTGTGATAAAGCCCAGCCCTGGTAACTACACTAGGCCAGGCATACTAGGACGTTTGTGATGTTTGTGTTTTTTTCTTAAACACGACTTATTAATAAACATAAAATAACAAATACATAACAATAAATTGGCTTATTATCATCAATGGGAACTAGCATTAGCATACCAACACTGGTGCAGCTCCTGCAATGCTCATTTTGAGGGTGTGCCACCTCACATGCCTTGCAGTATCTATATGCCTCCTCCGGTTTTTCTTTTGCTGTTTGATATTGGAGTGGTAAGGGGCAAAGCTTTGACTTTTAATGTTTGCAGTTGCTTTTTACCTCATTTCCCGCTCCAGGCAGAAAGGTTTTGACTTTGATTGTCTTTCCAGGTGCAGGAAAAGGAGATTCCATCAGACTCCTCATAAATGGATAAACCAAGGCAGCAGATATTCCCCTTCTCCTTTCAACCTCATCCAGGATCTGATCCATTAGTAAGGCGCAAGAGAGAAAGAGACAGAACATGTCAACACCACATACACTTTTAAAGCATCTTTTGACCCACATGTGCCTAAACACATGGGAAATTTCTCTTTTAATTTATTTTTAATTTAGTTTAATTCTCCTCTGCCATGTATTTCTTCACAACCATTATAGCCACAGGATTCGATCATGCTCTAAAAATGATACGTTTTCCAGTTACAAAATGGAGCCTGTTTGTGAATGCAGTTAACAAAGAGACAAGGAAGAAATAACAAATCTGGAAAGGAGAAAGAAGACTCAGCATGGCAAAAGGCATGTATATTGTTTGAATTTTGCCTGAACAACAGAGTGAGCTGAAGGAAGGACAGATCAAGACAAATCCCATGACCACGGACCAGGTCAGAGTCAGGTCTCAGTGGTATATCTTGAAATTTGTGTTAAGGAGAAACACTTTCTTCTGCCCTGGGCACCTCTTCCATTTCAACTGAGAGGGCAGCAAAAAGCCAGACCAGCAAGAAAAGCAACCCTGGTACACTATGATACCAGCAGAGCTCCACCAGGAAAGAGTTCCTGGAAGAGCCCCGGCTGTGGCAGCAGCAGTCACGTCGCAGCCTGAGCTGAGCTGGGGCCAGCCGTGAGCAGCCTCATGAAGCATGCCCAGCTGTTTACACTGGGTGCCTGCATTAAGGTCATTTTCTGTTTGACATGATGCAGAGCCTGCAATCTAGTTTTGAAATGAGCAGATGGAACTTCTTACAGATAGAAAGGACAATTATTTTTTTCTCTCTTTGGTCACATGGGCCAACATAAATGAGATCACAGCTAACTTTTCCCACATTAGACAGACCATATAGATGATAAACCTAAAGAAGACAAGAAAGCAAGCTTCAAAGCAGTTAGTGGTTTGACCTGAAATGGTGATCTTTTAACCACCACTCAAGAGCAAAGGGCCATACAAGAGTTAGTGGGTCTGAGTCAGGCATTTTGCCTTGTTTCTCTTGGAAACGCCCTTCATTGAAACAGAACATTGAAAGATACTTAAGCACAAGCTGGTGCCTTACAACAACAGCCAGTGACACCAAATGCCAATGGGACATTCACTGGTGCAGTTTCCTCTTCGCAATGTAGTAAAGACCTAACTAAAGCAAAACTGACCCTATATACATAGCTTGCACTCCAGTCTGTGGCAGATAACCATAAACGAAGATATAGATTTCATTCTTGATGTAACTTGCAGCACAATAATTACCCTCACCAGACAAAAGCAGCTGCCCTAATGGTAAGTAATAATAAACCAAGGCTATGCCCCAGGTCCCTTAGTGCTCCTGCACACTGCAAGCATACAGCACTACCTCCTTTTCTGCAGTCACTGTTTGATGCTTTACTTTGCTGGTGTTGGGGGCCATGTGTGTGTCATATCCCAGTCCCAAAAACTTTCACAATATGATTAGTATTTAAATCAAATAAAAGTTGAACACAGATCTCGGAAGATAGAAGGGTCAAAAATATCTGCTGAAACCGTGACCACATGAACTGGCTGGAAGTAAGGGTATCATCTGTGGTTCTCAAGTCTGTCTTAGCAGTAGGTATTACAATAGTGAGCATAAAGGCTTTGAGGAACATGAAAATAATGCAAGGGATCAGAAATAGGATGACAAACATTTTAAAACAGAGGACTCCTTTTGCTCTTCTGATAAATAATATCCAAGGTTTAATATCTTATGGTCTTTCATCACTCGCATTTTTCTGTAAAGGCAATTGTTCCTCATTTTGACTAATTCAGCGAAGTGCACCATAATGATTGTTTTCCTCTCTTTTACTAGATTTATCAATTAGGACAGCCCAGGTTCCTCTTACTAGGCTGGAAAAAGACACTGTCTTACGTTTCAAGAACTTCTGTCTCCATCCACACCACATCTGTCTTCAAAACTGTCATGGAGGCTAAGGCTCAAACACCTCCTCCTTCATTTAATAGCTATTTTGTTCAAACCCTATCCAAAAATGCGGTGTTTGGAGTGTGTGCTAAAGAGCTGTGCTAAATCCAGCCCAGGACTGGAGCCAGCCCCACGTCCTGCCAAACACTCTGCTCCCACTCTGGCACTGGTATCGTCAGGAGGTGACCAGTCCTTTGTAGGACAGTACCACTGTGACTAGACTACAGTAGGATGGAGTCTTTTTGTAGCCCAGACCCTCCACAAGCCCAGTGGTTGAAAAAGTGCAGAGATGTGTCACAGCCCCATTCAGGGCCCAATATGCATTTGAGTGGGAGCCTTCCTTTCTGCATAGACCAAGAATCTGAGCCCTGTGTGGCCAAGGGCCTGTCTGCAACAATGCTTGGGAACAGCCCTTGCTGAAGACAGTGAAATCACGGTCACCCATCAGCCGCTGGTTCACTTTGGCTGGATGATCAGACACTTTTGTTCAAGTTACAGATTGAACTGGGAAAGCAGACTGTTTGCAATTTTGGTATGACCTTCCACATCTGCTGCAGACTTTACACCTCAGCTGTAGTGATACTCAGTTTTAAGGAGGATACTTACATTTTCTTTTTTTTTTTTTTTTTAGTATTTTCTGTCTTTTTTCCCCTCTCCCATTTTCCTTTGAAAATGAGTGCACTATCAAAATAGATAAAAACATAAAAGTAAACAAAGAGCCTCAGGACCTCTCTCCATACCATGAGTTTGGTGAGCTGTGTTATCCTCCCAGAACAATGCATTCCGTTTCACTCACAGTTATCTGTGTTTAGATACATCTTATAGCTAAGAGACACTGTTATAAACCCTTGATTTCAGAGCTTTATGAAAGATGTCAGAAGCAGAATTGCAATTAACTATTGCAACTTAATAATTTTTCTTCACATAGATTTATCTTAAGCAAAGTTTTATCTCAAAAACTTGAAAACTGCATTGAAGATAACATTCTGTATGATTATTAGATCATATGAACAATATAAATGCTGTGATTTTATTAACTTCAATGATTTACATGTTCTTTTCAACTTTATTCCTATATAAATGAAAAAGAAAAATCTGTGTAAGTTCTGTGAGACTTCTCACACCTGAAGTGGAAATCGTTGGCAAATTCTATGAACACTGTATCGAAATGGGAAAAGGGGAAGGCAGCCATTTGACATATCATTGTTCTCCACACACCACCAGCAAATCCTATATGATACTCTGAGGTGCTCACTGGATTTTGCAGAGCTCACTCTCAGAGGACTACGAGGCCCTAAACTAGCAGCTAGAGAGATATTTCAAATGTTAATCGATCAGAAATGTTATTAATAGTTAACTTTAATAATCTTTTGTCTTACAAAAGAATAATGCTTGTGGCTCTGGAGCTGACTGGCAGTTAGTTGTTCCTATGGCTATTCAATCCCCCAGTTTAGCTGCAAAGCCCTGCTTATTGTCTGAACTCTTGAGTCAAGAAATGTGTTACCTAGGTAAACTACCTCAGCATACCATGCAACTTTGGATTAATTAATGTGGAGGCCAATTAAAAGATTATCCATGCTTTCCTAGCCTCCTAGGATAAAAACTCATGTTAAGAGAGTCAAGCATACAGAATTCACTTATCAAACAATCTTGCTTCTTAACCTCATCATTCCACAGGGTATTGGAGTAGAAGTGGTACTGGCCCATCATTCAAACCGTGAATGCCAAGAATTACAGCTCAGCACAGAACGGCTTTAGAAAACAATGGAAAAAACTTCAGTCAGCCAGATCATACAGACACCCAGATGTTTTCTGAATCAAGTTCTGCCTCAGTCACAGAAATAATAAGACATTCTTCAATGAACCCTACAATAGGGATGGAATATCCAAAACAGCAACTGTAAAACACAGTTATCTCCCATCAAAGGAAGAAATTCTTGTCTGGTTCATCCCTGTGGATGTGTCTCAGTAAACAATCAGATTAAAAAACAATATTTTAAAAAAATCTTCTTACCTTGGAAAATAAGTCAAAGCACCCCAGCCGGCTGATGACACAATAAACTTCAGGTAGGCGTGGACCTTTTCCACTTGGCTGATAGCAGTAAAAAGGAGATCGAAATTACATATTAATTTGGAGTCATGAGGAAATACGCTTCTCTCTCTGATCACACAGTTGGCCATCATGTGTCATCTTTCACTATCCGTTTCTCCATCAAAATAGCTACTCTTGGAAAAGCATCATATTTCTTCTGTAAGACAGGAAACTAAAAAGCATAAATAGTGCTTATCCACTTTGGAAATCACAGTGCATTGGAGCTCCAGCTTGCAGCCATAAAAGCATTTTTAACTACGAGTGTAACTCATGCCTTTGCTATCATTGTCCTCTGTTCCTGCTGCGGCATGAGGAGTGAGGCCACCCCGGGGCCTTGTGCTGGGCAATGAGAACTGCAATGCTAAGGGAGGTTATGATGGCTTTAGTTCCCCACTCACTTCATGATGTTCAGAGAGCTCAACTCACAGAAAGTGTGCTTAGAGACCTAAATGAAGGCAAGCTGCATGAGCTGAATCATTAACTTCCTCAGATTAATGCATGATACACATGAAACTCTTACATAACTTTAACGGTGGCAAGTATGAATCAACAATGTACATGCCCCCCAACCCCTCAAAAAAAAAAAAATCAAAACCTATAAAGACCATCCTCTATAATCATGCTATTGAATATACTTCCTAGAGAAGCAAATGGTTAAACTGGCATGACTGATGTGTATTCACTCCCTCAGCACACTGGACTCTGCAACCCTGCCTATACCACTGCAGGGAAAGATCTGTCAGCACTGTGTGTGAAAGAAGGGTACAATCACTTGCTGGATTCAGCTTCTTTACTGGAAAAGAAGTAGAATTAGGCTAATATTGAGACCTTTAGAAAAACCGTCCTTGCTGGCAAGGTCCTCAAGAGCAGAGAGCTGGTCTGCCTGTGTACAATGCACGCAGACGGCAGTGACATCCACGCATAGCAGCTTCCCACTGTATTTTTAATAAGCTGTGAAGCA